CCAAAAGGGAGGAGGTACCGGTTGCTGGGAGGCCGCTTGGCCTAGGAAGTCACCACCCAGGAGGCCGGTAGGCCGCTATATCTTCAGGAAGAGCGGAGAGCTCTTCCTCATTTGCGGTGTGCAAGGATTGGCGACATGCTGCTGGAGCGCAGCGCTGGACCAGTGCAGCGCTGCTTGGAGGTGAAGGGCAGCTGGAGCTCAGCCTAGCTATGGCGAGCAGTCCAGCTTGAGGAGGAAGAAGGGGGCATGGTAGGAGAGTGGCGGGGCACTTACCTGGCTATGGAAGACACCATCTTCATCACCTTGTTGGGCGCTGCATCTGGAAGGCCCCAGTTGGGGTAGGGCGGCACCAGGGAAGCTCGAGGCAGAGTCAGGCATAGCGGACCAAGTCAGCAGCGGCATAGCTGTTTTGAGTGGTCCTTTGGGCATCAGTGCAGCACCATAGCTGCTTGGGTTGTCCTTTGGACATCAGCGCAGCACCCTAGCTGCTTGGAGTAGTCCGCCATAGCCTATGCATGAGAGAGGAGGCTAAAGGAGGGAAGCCATAGCTATGGTGGACTGGTTGTTGTTGTTGTTGTTGTTGTTGTTGTTGTTGTTGTTGTTGTTGAGTTGAGTCAGCAGTAAGAGGGAACTTCGGATATTGATTCTGGTTCATCCATTCATTGTTATTATTATTATTGAGAGAAGAATAAGATTGGTGAAGAGAAGGAGGAGGAGGAAGGTGGAGAGAGAAGGGGGAATTGTCATTGGTCTTGCTGGTGTTCTTCTTCTTCTTCTTCTTCTTCTTCTTCTTCTTCTTCTTTACCTCTCCTCTGGTCTTTATCTCTTTGCAAGTGCTTTCATTTCTTTCGCAATTGGGTGGCATTGTCCTTCATTGTGAATTTGCACTTGGGAAATGACCAGGATCGTAACACTTCATAAGAAAGGGGCATGACAGCCCCACTTCCAAAGGACTGCAGCAATGGGTTACGTGACCACTCCCTTTTCTCAACCACCCTGGTTGCCTGGAGGCCTCTGATGTCCAATCCGGCAGCAGCTGCTTTTACTTCCATTTACAGAAGCCAAACCTGGCCCAGAGGCCAGTCGCGAAAGTGGCCAATGGTTTAAGATGTTCCCATATCCCAGGTACTATAACGAAATGGGAAACAGTTTCACCAAGTCAGAAAGAGTGAAAATTGTCACAGCATCCTTTTGCATAGGGAATCAAACATCATAACCACAATGGAAAAGGATCTTATACCATCAATTTCTCGACGTCCTAATTCCAAGCATGGAGAGGTGGGGATTTCCTCCAACACTGCACTAACAGCTCACCGTTTTGGTAAATCTGAACCACAAAATTAACTGTTCTCATTTCAAGGGTTGAAGGATATAGACGAGGCAAAAGAAAAGTATAAGTCAATTCCCCGAACTACAAGCCACTTGCCAAACAAGCCAAACGAACATCTGGCATCCACCATTCCCAACTGCTCAATTGTCCAAGTACTTAACACACAAAACAGCAGCTATGTATTAACATAACAAAGACACGTGAGTTTTGGAGCTTGGAATGCACAAGAAGCCTACCCAGAGATCTTCGCTTGCTTCCAAGAAGAGCTGCAGGTCAGAACTCTGGCGTAGCAATGGATGGGCTGCTACGCGATTGATAAACATGTCAAGTGCTTGACGCCTCATGTCAATAAAGTCCGCACTGAATCTGAATTTCTCTGCAGCCAAAAGATCACTAGCTTTAAGGCCCACCTATTCAGCACAGGAAGGTCACAAAAACCTGAGGGAATGCGTTTCACTTCATCCCATTCGGTCCCCTCAATCCAATATTCTTTTCTTCCTTTTTGGAAACACTCTCTGCCCGATCATTGAAATAACGCAGAAACTGCATTTACTGTAATAGAAGTCGTATATTTTCTCCTTTTTCGGGGCAGCATTCTCTCCCTTTCTTGCTTAGACTTGTGCCTTCGGCCCTGCAGAAAAGCGAGAAATCTAGCTCCTCCTAGCAGCAATCTGCAGGATTGTGAAACACCCAGCCAGAGTTCTAAGACAGCTTGATTTAGCTCCGGCTCGGCAACTGCGGTGAAACAGTTTCACCTTTTGCAGTCACAGATGCGGATCCCAGGGCTTGATCCCCAGACCTTACCTTACCTTACCTGTGTACAGTATCAAGTCGACCCTGTGTGTCTTGAACCCATTGACTGTGTGTTAGTAGTTGGAAGTTGTCTGTCGTAGGTCTGAGTAGTTGTCGGGTCTTGAACCATAAACCTGTCGAAGTAGGGGTCATACCTGCATAGGGGTCATAGGTGTTGTAGTCTGAAAGGGAAAGGTCGTAGCTGCCACAGTCCGGAAAGGTCAAGGTCTTGGCTGCTACAGTCCCGAAAGGCCAAGTCCACAAACTTCCGGAAGGTCCGGAAGGTCCGGAAGTGGCCTTTCGAGAGTTTCTACGTTTGGGCAGAGGCATGTGAGCAAGTAGGCAGTCCAACTTTGTCTAGTCAGCGGTACCCAGTCCCAGTCTTACTTTGTCCAGTCAGCAAGTACCATGTGGGACTGTGTGCACGGTGGGCCCGGTGGAAAGAGGCAGACCAGCGGCCTACAGAAGTATAAATCAAGAGGCAGCGTCCGGTTATTCATTCATTCCTGCGTGAGCCATGCGGAAGCGCTGCCCAAGCGTTTTGTGCGAGGTGGTCTGCAGATTGCCCGAAGTCGAAGTGCGCTGAGGCGGAGATAGTGCAGCCATCGCTGCTAGTAGTAGAGGTAGACGACGATCACAGCTGCCATAGCCAGCGATAGGTAGTAGAGTGTGTGTACGTACGCGTGTGTCTGATGCAGTGTGAGTGTGTGTGGGATATCCAAGGAGATCCGGAGGTGAGTACGTGTGAACAGTTGGGTGAACACAGTGTCGGACAGAGGGTGTGTGGGCGCTCAGGCGCCATAGCCGGTTGGAAGCGAGTCTGTATCTGAACTGTGTTTTCGGCTTGACTATCTCTGAGCTTTGTGTGGGCGCACCGCGCCAGTGTGAATTGCCATCTGTTTGCATGTATGCGAAGAAGAGAAGAAAGCGAGTCTGATTTCATTGGTATCGGAGCTGGTTTCCGCTTTTCCACGCGCCGTTGTTGCTCAGCGGTGCGCTGAAGTTGGGCGCCACAGTTGAAGCCGCGCCATCAAGAAAGGAGGTCCGCCATAGCTGCACCGTCGAGGAAGTCAACGCGCACCTGCAAAGAAACACGGGAGAGAGAGAGAGAGAGAGAGAGAGAGAGAGAGAGAGAGAGAGAGAGAGAGAGAGAGAGAGAGAGAGAGAGAGAGAGAGAGAGAGAGAGAGAGAGAGAGGAGCGATACAAGATTGGTTGAGCGGTCCAAGACAGGAGGTGACGGCCATAGCCGCCGAAGCTCGGACACAGGGTTACCAAGGAGAAAGAAGACGAAATAGAGGAGTAGGGAGGACGGAGGAGAGAGAAGCCATGGTTGAGGAAGAAGGGAGAGACGAAGAGGGAAAAAGAAAGACATAGCCGGGGTGGAGGAAGAAAGTAAGGAAGAAGGAAGGAGGGGGAAGGCGAAGTGAAGGTTGAAGGGAGACAAGGGGTCGGCAAGTTCGATGGCAACCATAGCCGAGTTGAACGTTGACGAAGGCGTTGACCAAGGAGTTGACCGGGGTTGACCGAGGAGTTGACCAAGGTTGACCACGGTGTTGACCGGGAAGTTGACCGGAGTTGACTGAAGTGTTGACTGATGGGTTGACTGAAACCCAGTGGGTCAACCTGTTTTAGCGTGCCATGCCCGAACCTTTGCGCGGGCACTTCTTTGAGAAGAGTAGGGAGTCTACCATGACCTACGATACCTTGAGTGGGGAATTGGTAGCATTTGAAGCGCATTCCATGCCAGTTTCCACTTTCTGGCATAAGGACCTTGACAAGGGTAAGAAGTGGAAAGGCTGTACCATCTCGGGTCAGGTTAAGGGCAAGGATCACCTGATCCTTATATTAGATGACGGTGGTATGGAACAGGTCCCTTACAGTCAGATAGAGTGGGGCCTGGAGGAGGATGACAGTGGCGATAGTCAGGGGAGGACTTACATTGCTGTTGCGGCTGGAGGGAGGCCGCAAGGTAGAGGAGGAGGCCGGGGCCAAGGGGACCAGGCTTCCGGTGGTCGAGGACAGAATGATCAGGGGGTTGGCGGCAGAGGAATCCGCCAAGCAGGAGGCAGGGGTCAAGGTCCCCCTCAAAACCGCTCTCGTTTTACTCGGTCACCTCCCAGGAGGGTCGGATGGCACCCTGGCTTGCCGCAAGGCAGGCCCTGGGAAGATCTGGGCCTAGAGCAAACAATTTGGCAGAGGAGGATAGATCAGGATCAATGTATCTATTGCGGTGACCTTGGTCATGTTATTGAATACTTCCCTAAGTACAGAGAGGCCCGGTTTGCTGCACAGGCAGCAAAAGACAACCGTCGGTAGGGGTTGCAACTGCCCTTACCCCTAGACCATGTGGAGAAGAGTGTGCGCACCACATAGAAACTCCCAAACCACATGTGTCTATGGCAGAGGTTGTTGGCCAGTGCCTAGATAGTTGTCCAAAGACTGCTTGTGTTAGAGTCTCTCTAGGCACTTCCCTCACAGGCATGGCAGAAGAGTTGAAGGAGAGGATGTCTGCCTTGGCCAAGATGAAGAAAGATATGAAAGGACAACTAGTGGGGCCACTCGTAGTTATATTAGCAGAAAAGCGGTGCAGAAGCTGAAGTTAAATCTAAAGGTTCAAAAGTTAGAAGACCCCATAGTCAGCATCCTCGCAGACAATAGCACTATGTCAGTCGAGGATTATGTAGAGGGAGTCCAGGCGTACTTTCGCCTAGAGAAGGATGGGAAGGTGGAGAAAGTTCCCCATTCCCTGACTCTCCTCGTAGAGGACAGCCTTCCTTTCGACATGGTCCTAGGAAGGACTGGGGAGAGGCAGTAGGGGCCACACTCCATTTAAGAGAGCATGAGTGTAGGCTCCCTAGTCCATCAAGCGAAGTCAAGATTGCTCGCCTGTTTCATGTGTCAAGAGTAGACAACACCCTGGCACATTGTTGTCTCAGTGCTCCCGCGTTCGCGTGATTAGTAAAGGAGCAACTAGAAGAACAGGTTTTCATAGCCTATGTTAGGCCTGTCATTGAGCCTACGGTAGAGAAACCCCTTGATCCGGCTATTGCCAAGTTGCTGGAAGAGTATACAAATTTAGCTAAAACCACCTACAAGAGTAGTGCAGCGGCCAATCGAGCATCGCATTGAGATAGAGCATGGCAGTAGGACTCCTAAGGGAACTATCTGCACAATGTCCCCGAATGAGTTAGAGGAGCTGCGCAAGCAGTTAGACGAGCTCCTCGAGAAGGGTTGGATTAGGCCCAGTTCATCTCCATTTGGAGCACCTGTTCTTTTCGTCCCCAAGGAGGGAGAGTTTAGAATGTGCATAGACTATAGGGGTCTCAATGTCGTCACAGTGAAGAATGCAGAACTGTTGCCCCGTATAGATGATCTGTTAGATCGGGTGCAGGGCTGCAAATACTTCTCTAAGATAGATTTGAAGTCAGGCTATCATCCGATAGAGGTCCACCCTGATGATCAGTACAAGACGGCATTCAGGACTAGGTATGGGCATTATGAGTTTATAGTTATGCCCTTTTGACTAACCAACGCGCCAACAACATTCCAGCGCTGTATGAATAATTTGTTTAGGCCTTGGTTAGATAGATAAGTAATTGTGTACTTAGACGATATTTTAGTTTGATATTTTAGTTTTTAGTAAGACCCTTCAGGAGCATGAAGGCCATCTAAGGCAGGTCTTGGATAAGCTAAGGGAAGCTAACTTCAAGATCAACGCGAAGAAGTGCGAGTGGGCCAAGACGCAAGTCTTGTACTTGGGCCACGTCTTAGATGGAGGTGGCATAAAACCTCAGGACATTAAGATAGTTGCGATTAGAGACTGGCCGACGCCCCGCACACTGACTGAGTTGCGGTCGTTTCTAGCCTTAGCCAACTATTATAGGAAGTTCGTAAGGAACTTCTAAGGAACTTCTCTACCATCGCTGCACCCCTTCGCAGGTTGTTAAAGAAAGAAGCAATATGGGAGTGGAGTAGAGATTGTACGTCGGCCCTGAAGAAGTTAAAGCCGGCCTTGATAGAGTATCCAGTCCTCAAGGTAGTTGATCCGTCCTTACCTTTTGTCGTCACCACTGACGCAAGTAAGTACAATATAGGCATTGTTTTACAGCAAGATGATGGCAATGGGTATAGACCCATAGAGTTCATGTCTGCTAGGATGCCTTCGGAGAAAGGTGGCAGCATCTACTTATGAGAGGGAACTCTACGCTCTCAGGCAAGCACTAGACCACTGGAAGCACTACTTGCTTGGGAGGCACCTCAAAGTGTATTCAGACCACGAGATGTTCAGGTGGCTGAAGACGCAGGCCAAGATGACACCTAAGCTTACTAGGTGCGCCGCCAAGATAGATCAGTTTGACTTTGAGCTCAAGCCGGTGAAAGGACAGTATAATGTAGTCGCGAACGCTCTAAGTAGGAGAGTTGATTCCTTTGGAGCGATAGTGCACTATCTGGATATAGGGAGAGACCTGCAACAGAAAGTCAAGGAAGCCTATGCACAGGACCCTATTTATAGCGATCTCCTACAAAGAGTTAAGGAGGCTCCAAAGACTGAACCAGATTACCGCACTACAGATGGCTTACTGTTCGAGAAGACTAACGTAGCTGGCCGCTTATGCGTTCCCAACAGTGAAGAGATCCGTAGTTTGATCTTAGGGGAATGCCACAACACAGAGGGACATTTTGGTTGGCAGAAGACGTTAGCCAATCTTATACGTGTGTATATGTGGCCAGGTATGAAGGCCGGCTACATACAATATATACGCAGTTGTAAGGTCTATCAGAGGAATAAGACCACTACGTGAGCCCCTCTAGGTCTTCTCAGACCCTTGCCTGTTCCCAACAGACCTGGAGACTCGGTGTCCATTGACTTCATGGACGTTGCCCGCAGAGGCACGTACAGACTAAGTTATAGATAAGTTCTTTAATCATTGGGTCAGTGAGCATGGTCTCCCGTTGTCAATAATTAGTGACAGAGATACCAGGTTCACTAGTTAGAACTGGCAGGAGTTGATGAGAGTCTATGGCTCTAGGTTGTTGATGTCATCTGGCCGCCATCCTAAGACTAACGGTCCGACTGAACAGATGAACAAAATCCTGCAGCAAGTTCTCAGAATGTATATTAGACCTGATTATAATCATTGGGACGAGATGCTTCCTAAGGTAGCCAGTGTGTACAATAGTAGCGTGCACTTAGCTACTTGTCGCAATCCCAACGAGTTACCTAAGTCCTTTAAACCGCGTAGACCGTTCGAGGGACTGCACCGGGATCAGATTCAAAGGCTACAGCCCAATACTAGGGAGTTTGCACTACACTATGATAAGGAGATTGCTACCTTCACAGAGAACCTCGGGAAGGCCCAGCATAGAATGATAGAGCAAGCCAATAAGCACCGTCGCCCATCACAGTTTCAAGTAGGCGACTTAGTCTGGGTCAAGTCCAAAAAGTTTGCTCGTGAGGAGAACAACTCACAAAAGTCACTGCCTGCATACCGAGGATCGTGGCCAGTCTCAGAAGTCAAGGGCGGAGAGGATGGACCGTCCTACACAGTCGAGATTCGAGCGCACCTCCACACCTACCCAGTGTTTCATGTGTCAAAGTTGCTGCCTTGTACCACAAGTCAACAGTTTCCATCACGGAGGTCCATGATCCCTTCGGACATGGATGGAAGGTACAACATTGACGGCATGGAAGGTGAACAGGAGGTAGGGGTCGTCCACAGAAACAGTATAAGGTCAGGTTCACTTTTCGGGAACCAGAGGGCGACTGCTGGTTTGCACGAACAGAACTGCTTGAGACCGCTCCCGATGTAGTTTGCACCTATGAGAGAGATAAGAAAGATAAAGGCCCAGCCTTGGACTAATGTATTCTCGGAGGACCTCGAATTGAGGCCGGCGGGAATGAAACGGTTTTCACCTTTTGCAGTCATAGATGTGGATCCCAGGGCTTCATCCTCAGACCTTACCTTACCTTACCTTACCTTACCTTACCTTACCTTACCTGTGTACAGTATCAAGTCGACCCTGTGTGTCTTGAACCCGTGACCTGTGTTAGTAGTTGGAAGTTGTCCGTCGTAGGTCTGAGTACATGTCAGGTCTTGAACCATAGACCTGTCGAAGTAGGGGTCATACCTGCATAGGGGTCATAGTTGTTGTAGTTCTGAAAGGTCAAGGTCGTAGCTGCTACAGTCCGGAAAGGTCAAGGTCGTAGCTGCTACAGTCCGGAAAGGTCAAGGTCGTAGCTGCTACAGTCCCGAAAGGCCAAGTCCGCAAACTTCCGGAAGGTCCGGAAGTGACCTTTCGAGAGTTTCTACGTTTGGCCAGAGGCATGTGAGCAAGTAGGCAGCCCAACTTTGTCTAGTCAGCAGTACCCCATCCCAGTCTTACTTTGTCCAGTCAGCAAGTACCATGTGGGACTGTGTGCCCCGTGGGCCCGGTGGAAAGAGGCAGACCAGCGGCCTACAGAAGTATAAATCAAGAGGCAGCGTCCAGTTATTCATTCATTCCTGTGTGAGCCATGTGGACGCGCTTCCCTAGCGTCTTGTGCGAGGTGGTCTGCAGATTGCCCGAAGTCGAAGTGGGCTGAGGCGAAGATAGTGCAGTCATCGCTGCTAGTAGTAGAGGTAGACGATGGTCATAGCCGCCATAGCTAGCGATAGGTAGTAGAGTGTGTGTACGTACGCGTGTGTCTGATGCAGTGTGAGTGTGTGTGGGATATCCAGGGAGATCCGGAGTTGAGTACGTGTGAAAAGTTGGGAGGGTGTGTGGGCGTCAGGCGCCATAGCCGGTTGGAAGCGAGTTTGTATCTGACCTGTGTTCTCGGTTTGATTATCTCTGAGCTTTGTGTGGCCGCACCGCGCCAGTGTGAATTGCCATCTGTTTGCATGTATGTGAAGAAGAGAAGAAAGCGAGTCTGATTTCAGCGGCAATCACCGCAGGATTGCAAAATCCACATCCAAACCATACTGTGTGCCTCAGATGATACGGAAAATGAGACCCAATTTAGCTCTACAGAACTGTAGCAATCCTGTCTGCAGGATTGTGAGATCCCCGACCAGAATTCTTAGTACAGCCAGGCCATGTAGTTGTCAATTCCTGAGACTTGTGCCTAAGTCTTTACGAAAATGAGGGACCCAATTTAGCTCTCTGTACGTAACTGCAGCACTCCTTGCACAAGTAAAAATGGAAGCCCTAGCCATAATTCTTACTAGATCCAGGCAATTGAACTGTAGTTTGCTCAAAGTTGTCCCTTGGGCTGCACGGAAAAACAGAGCCCCAATTCAGCTCGTTCTGGGCAATGGCAGCGATCCCTGCTCTTCTAAATTCTGGCATGCCTAGACTACCTTCTTCCCCCAAATACAACGTACGGTCACTATAGACTGCATTTTCGGTAGCTTTCAGCCTAAATACAGGTATAATGACCGTACGTTGTATTCTGGGTAAGAAGGTAGGTCAGTCCTGACTATCCTCTGTCCCTCGGGACATCCGTTAAAATTGGAACGATACAGAGATGATTAGCATGGCCCCTGCGCAAGGATGACACGCACAAATCGAGAAATGGCCGGAATTTTTCAACAAAAAAAAAGTCCTGACTATCCTCTCTGCACCCTTCCTACATCTTTGACGAAGATTAATTAGTAATTACTAATTAGTAATTACCTATATGTTGCTACTGACATAGCCTGCAAAACGGTGTTATGTTTCTGCGGAAGTTGAAGGTCCTCATTTCTGCCACAATTTCAGGACAAACAAAACTACTCTTTCCATTTTTCGCAAGAAACGCTGCTACAATTTTCAGGCAGCTTCACAATCCGTCTTCGGATAGGTCCTCACCCTTTTTTAAACTTCCCACTAAGGGCATAACCCCTTTGCCCTCCACCCGACCACACCCTCGTAACATTGGCTAACCATACAGGTCTCACCGTGAAGCAGGGACCTGGTTCCAGCCTCTCAAGGCATCACAAATCTATATGCTGCCACCCACCCTCACTTTGGCCGCTCCTAGTGGCTCAACAGATTGACTGCGATATGGAAGTTGTATCTGAGCTACCACGCTACTGCAACACGACCCATATTTTTGAAGGAACAAAAAAAAACAGGCCCAGGTAATTTGATAACCCAACATAACCTTACCGACAACGTTCTTCTCTGGCAAAGGAGGTATGATGACTCCTCGGTGGGTCTCAGTTAGACGTTCATGGAGCCACAGAAAATCGCTGAAGCGGCGGATCACTGAAAACTCCTTCCTTCGGTAGTTCGGCAAATTCGTCTGCAACAGTTTCTCACACACCCAGACACCCCATGCACACACATGTGAGTGCATGCCCCTCCATTGCCTCCAGGGGTACACACACACACACACACACACACACACACACACACACACACACACACACACACACGTAAAAAAAGGAAACCACAAAAACAAGCAGCACGAGTGCACACAGACGTTGGCATGCTTGACGAACTTCGTCCATGTTATTTTCATAGGAGATCAACCCTCTTGCATGAAGCTCCCTTGCATGCATCAACATGACCAGAAGGAATACGTAAACATCGCTGGGTAAGCACCCACAAAAAGAAAAAGACCACGTGCTGACCCTAGCAGGCATGGGCATACCAACATACAAGGCTTCAGACACACTTGGAGAAAAAAGCAGGAAGACAACACCCTGGATGCCTATCCATACACTGTGAGACCAGCATTCAATCCCTTCGACAGAAATGCATGCAGCTTCCAAATGCATGCAGCTTCCAACGATGGATCTGTTCTCCCTCTCTTCCAGAATTTTCTCCCCCATCTCCACGAGCGTTCTTGGTCATCACACATCACTGTAAGGCATACCATCGAAGGAGAAACTGCCTCATCAGGGGAGAGTAAATCACAAGGCTAAAACTGCTTGTCAACAGACGCTAACCTCTCCCCTCACCTCCTCCCCACTACAGAATTGAGCCGCTCAACCAAGATGATACGGCCGGCTGTGACATTACAACACGGCGCTCTGGATACAGTTGAGTTTTGATGCATTTTGCTGGTCCTTTCTTGAAAAGGTCATCAGTCTTACTTGGAACTTCGGAGTAACTCCGCTCCCATGAAGAGCAGAACGAAACGCAAGTAGAACACACACAATATTTCAGACGGCAACAATAGTTACAAAACAGATTGCGAGTGATAATAGAAGAAGGGTTAGGTTCAACCCTGAGGGGACAGGCTCAACCCTGACGGGATACGCTCAACCCATAACTGTCAGTGGACTGTGCCTCTGGTAAATAGATGTGGTTTGCTGTGTGCCCGTAGCCTGGTATTGCCCCGGGATAGTAGGTAGACTGGTGATACCCCCGGGATAGGTTAAATCCTTGCTTGTCAGGTTTGAGGTTGGACCAGTGCGAAGATAAGGGAGATCGCCACACTATATATGCGAGCAGATAACGTGGGGAGGGTCGGTAGCTAGTGTGAGATCGACACAATATTTGAGAGACGAAAATAGGGTGGTAAATACAGCCGTCTGAGACTGTCGAATATATATGAGGAGAAGACAGCTTTTTTTTCCTTTGTTTTTTTTTTCTTGCGCAGAAGACGACTTCATTTTTTTTAATAAATAAAAAAAAAGAAAGAACACTTGCAAACGATAGACCCATGCAACATGCACGCACTGCCTGCAAGATAAAGGAGGATACTGCACCTCACTTTTACAGATTGGACTGGACTTGACCTCAACGCTGTCCAGCTATACTACCAGAAAGAGAGGGTTGAACATCAGAGATACTGGAACATTAAGCAGTGGAAAGCAGGATCCAGACCATGTGGTTACATGGTATACAAGTATCTGCTACCGTCTTCACCCGAATAGAACACCCTGTCATTATCGCTGCATCTAGACTGAAAGTTGCACCAAATACGGCTATCATGACCAGGCGTTCTATTCAGGTGAAGACGGTAGCGAACAAGGCATGACTGCAAATCGCTACACCGATGAAGCTTAGCAAACACAGCAATAGCAGATCTCTACACTGTGGCACAGCACACACCAATTGAAAGTCTCATCTGATGGCCGAAGGCAAAGACAGCAATGCACCACCTAAGAATTGGGAGATGGGCCCATTTCACAGAAACCAGAACCACCAACAATCACCAAACCCGGTGCTCAAACCGCTTGAAGCTGATGACAAGGGATGCCCACCTTCGTATTAACACGGTACGAGACATAAGCCTGAACCCCATCACCTTGCTTCACCGGATCAGCCACAGTAATTTCTAGCAATTCCTCTCCAGGACCCCCCAAGCTCGCATCAGCACCCTGTGCAACAAGAAACAGCAAGTCCAGGCGTCAGATTACTATACATCACCGTGCCTAGCTCAGCCAGTACAGCCACAAACTGGTGAAATACAGACTGGAGTCCAAATACTGATAGACCTTGATGGATACAATTCAATCATTCTGAATTACCCAGGGCCGATCAGACCGATGAGTTCACGGGAGCCTTCTCAGTAGTTATCGGATCCGTACATCTGGGCCTAAGCCCTCCTTTGTGCAAGCACGAATTCGAACCGGTGACCTCAGCCTCAAGGGCCAAGTAAGGAAAACAAAAAGAAATAGAGAATTCTTCAAGTTTTACTATGGATCAAATTGTCAAAACTAAGAATTTGAAAGGTTGTCGTAAAATGGTACCGAATAGGGCTGATTACAAAAAAGATTTAGAATTTTGTATTACTAAAAAGGCTAAAAGTGTTAACGATAAAATGATACTCTTGAAAAAATAACAGAAGTCTCTTAACCACTACAGCCAGGACAAGGTGTTCAAAAGTGGAATAGTGATGAAGGCCATTGCCCTTTTGGAGTTTCGCATACTGCTGCCAACCTCCTCTGCAGCCTGCAGCCCGACCCATCTCGCAGCTAGTAAGTTACCCACCACATCTTTAGGATTGAGAGAGGGGCAGTAATGGTTTAAGTTCCGTTTAACGTATGTCTCGGCAGACAAGCAGGAACATTGAAAATCCCTTATCTAACTTTTCACGTCCCCTTCTTCAGGTGAAATTCCTCCCTTTGGTCAAGTGAACCATGGTGGAATGGGAGGCTTCTGCCATCAACTACCCCATGGTTCTCACCCTCTTTCTAGCCTTTCTCAATTCTATCAAGATAGCTCAAGAGAGAATCTCAGGCAGCTCCTTTATGCTGGCCTGAGCGAACAAGGAACGAGGGCAACGTGGAAGTTTTTTGTCGCTTCCACTCAGATGTATCACATAAATGGCATCCTCCGTGACAAGTAAAACCTTGTGAAGGGTGATTTCAATTCAATGACGGTGCAGCTACTTCGTTCACAGTTGGCTACATGGAGAGCATGCCATGGACCTTATCAAAAACATCGAGGGTACACTCTGCCCTAGCCACACACCACATCCTATTACAGCCCCACTACACGACAAAGACGTGTATGTCTGCTTGAAAGAGGAGCCAAGGTTCACAACTTCACACTGAACGGCCACCAAATGCACTGCACTGCACGCAGGCTTTAAACAGTGGAATATTCACCAGAGCTTATCAACGACCTACAGCGCTGTCCCTCAGGACATCCGTTAAAATTGGAACGATGCGGAGAAGATTAGCATGGCCCCTGTGCAAGGATGACTCGCACAAATTGAGAAATGGTCCAATTTCTTTTTCAAAAGAAAAAGAACCTACAGCGCTCAAATGATCAGTTCATCAACTTCATCCCGAACAGGGCTTCCTGCAAGCACTTGTATAGCTCCCACAATTACTTGGTGAGCACGCCCCCGAAAGTGTCTGGACGTGTCTGGATTGTCGGGTTTGGAGCTCTGTGATTGCAAGCTGTTGATCGTTTCCCTGTGTACTTCGTCAAATTTCTGATGCTATGCTTGGTCTAATTTCTGATGCTATACTTGGTCATATTTCTGATACTATACTTGGTCTAGCTGTGACCTGTATGGATCATAACTACTGATCTTACCAGCAGAAAGGTGAACTTTGGAGGGACAGAATTGAAAGCTAGTGATAGGTAAGGACGGAAAGGCAAAGGGCTGGAAGAACAGACTTGAAATTTAGATGGTGCAGGGACAATGCAAGTAAAACTTTCTGTGTTTTAACTTTTAAGGCAGTTTTTTTCTGGGAAGCATCCCTTCTCTCACCACTTGGCTAGCAGAACAAGGCATTTTCTGCCCTGGCATTTATAGATCTATAACCTATAGGGCTATATAAGCAGGCGTCCTGATATTTATAGGCTCTATGACCTATAAATAAATACTGGTGCATGGTCTCAGGAGTCCCTCTGACAGAAAGCTTGCCCACCACACCAGACCTCATCTGCTGTACACGACATTTCACAAGGCACCCATCATCTCCTCCTCTCACTTTTCACTCCCTCCTCCCACTTCTCAACTTCTCGACACCCAGGCGAAAACCTCAGCACAGCCAACCGTGGTTGATGTCCCACTCGGTATGACTACCTGTTTCTCGTCATAGATCTGCGTAATCTCTATGGTCAGCGATGAAGCATCCGGGCCCGTGGAACCTCACCCCTGGTTTCAGACTGAACACCATTCCTGGGGGGTCCTGTTGCCTGCGGCTGGGTAGCGCTGATCGCAGTCGAGACTTTCCCGTGGGTGCAAGGTGGAGAGTCCTGCGCTTGAGAGACACGTTTGTGTGTGCACAGTGAACCCACCCCAACGGTAGCACTGATCCTGGTCGATATCTTCCCACGGGTGGTCAAGGTGGAGAGTCCTGCACTTGAGAGACGTCTGTGTGTGCAGTGTGAACCCAACCCGACGGTAGCGCTGATCCTAGTCGAGACCTTCCCATGGGTGGTCAAGGTGGAGAGTCCTGCGCTTGAGAGACATCTGTATGTGCAGTGTGAACCCACCCGACAGTCAGGGATAACTCGCAAGGTTATCCCTCCTTCCCAGATTCCCCCTGCATGGTCCCCTCTCCCGCACAACCTTTCAGGAGGGGAAAAGCAGAAATATCCCGCTTGCTTTGCAGCAGCATCGGCAGCAGCAGCAACCCTGCCGTCAGAGGATGGCAGCGCATTGACAACAGAAATGTTATCAGTTTAAAGCACAGATTGCAAACCAGAACACTGTCAAGCAGATAGAGGGCCTCGTCGCACCACCGACCAAATGCACAAAAGGCAAAAATTTATTGCGGCGTACCTTACCACGTTCATGCGGAAGATTCATCCTCCATTTGCACACTCGGCGAGTTGTGCAGCGAGGCCCACAAAGGTGCGCAATTTCATTCGCACGGAGCGTTGCAGCAGCACCGAGGGGGACAGCACGAAGCGAGACACTGATTCTCGCCACGCCATGCATGATCAGAAGCCAGCAGAAACATTATTATCAAGGACACAAATGCCAGACCAGACACTCGTCAAGGGAGACAGAGAGGGCTCTCCTTTCCGTCACAGGCATGAGTTGGGGGAAGGACCACATGCAAAGAGTCACACAGGTCTGGACTCCTTACCACATTAGTAGTTCCCGCCCTGTCAGACGGGCGTGCAATGAGCCATTGAGGAGACAAAGGCATTATGCTCTCTGGAGATGAGCGGTCTGTTCAAGATGACACATAGGCAAAACCCACCCAACAGATGAGCAATCATCAGAAAACAAGACGAGATAGGAGACTGTTTCGCAGAAAATGAGACCATGGGCCTCGCTCCACTGCACAACATTCTTACATGTTGACTGTTGAGTAGTGGAGCGAAGGCCCAAATACATTCAAAATGTTCGATAGGTACGAAATACATTCACAATGTTCGATAGGTCCGAAAGTACAAGGTCCATTAAACAGTCCAGATACGTGTGGAGTGAAGGCCCACTTGTCTTTGGGCAGTCAACTGCATCTCTCATGCACATGCAATCATCAGACAGGGATTCCTTTCGCAACAAAGGACCGACAAAATCATTAAAGCCTTTTAAAGGGGAAGAAACAAAAAAGAAAGAGGTAGAGGAGAAAACGTAAAATCAAGTGTCACTCTTTCACCTCCCTGTCTGTGTTATTAAATGACCGAAACAACCACAGCAACAGGTATTCAGAAAATTTATGGGTTGAGATTCAGGATTTGTTCTCGGGGTTGGGTAATTAGAAGCATGGCTCAGACGGGAAAGATACACCTGAAGAAATAGATTTAAAAAAAAAAAAAAAAAAAAAAGCAGGTATTCAGAAATTTTATGGGTTGAGATTCTGACTGGCAGGGAATGCGCTGTGGAGTTTATTAGAAAAATATATCTTGTCACAGAACTATTGACTAAGAGTGCAAACACGTGTCGTTCGGGACATCCGTGAAAATTGGAACGATACAGAGAAGATTAGCATGGCCCCTGCGCAAGGATGACACACATAAATCGAGAAATGGTCCAAATTTTTTGAAGAAGAAGAAAAAGAAAAAGAAAAAGAAAAAAAGTGCAAACACGTGAAGTGGAAGAAGAAATAAGATGAACGAAGAAAAGGAAAAATGAAAGGACAGAGGCAAAGAGACAGACAAACCAGAAAGACGGAAAACAGTGTCGTGCATGGGTCCTGGAGACCATCTCACGCAAGTGTGTACATGCCATGCATCGTTCTCCCACACACAACGAACAGTAGTCTGATAATAGGTAGAGAAGATGAGAACCGAGTTTCACAGCTTATATTATCAAAAATATGGATACAAAGTGTTTCAAAGTTTCCCTGAGTCCAGCGCTCATCAGCGCAACACCAATATCTTGCCAACTCATCAATATGCCTTCCAGTGAATTAGTGCTACCCCTGCAGATAGTCTCCAAG